TTGTGAGCACAGGGCTGGGTTGTCATGGTAGGGTTGTGAGCACAGGGCTGGTTGTTATTGTCAGGCGGAGAGCCCAGCGCTGGGTTGTTACGGTAGGGTTGTGAGCACAGGGCTGGGTTGTTAAGGTTGAGTTGCTCCTGAGGTCTCAGGCTGCATCTGGTGAGCTAATGAGAACTCAGCGTGTGGCCTTTGTGTGGAGAAGGAAAGCACCGAGGGCGGCGAGAGCTAACGTGGAGCTGGGACCCCAGGGGGGAACCATCCACCCCAGGCTGCATCAGCCCCTGCTCTGGAGACGGGGTCCCGGGGTTTGACCTCTCCTATCCAGCCCCCCAGGGTGGGCCTGTGCCCTCCAGCCCGTCGGTCTGTCCCCTGCAGTCTAGTGTTCAGCACGATGGATCCCCCCTGCGTTCCTCTCCCGCCCGCCCTGGAACGTGACCGGCGGGACCTGTGCTGGGCCGATTACAGCCGGCTCCGCCCTCCTGCCCTCGGAGAGGCGCCTGTTCTCCGGGGTGCACCGGGCGCTGTGGGTTTGCACCCTGCCCCCTGCTCTGTCCCCACTCCAGTAACTGGGCCCGGCGCATACTTCTGTCACTAGTACAAATGACGGCTCAAAGCTGGCGTCTGCATGGAGCCCTCAGGGCTTCCTGTGCCGCAGGCTCCCTGGAGCCGGGGAGGGAAGGAGCGCCAATCTCGCCCCCTCGGGGGAAAGCCCCTGGGAAGGAGGGAAGCCAGCCGCGGCTGCAGGTCTAGCTACCCGTATCTCTGTGCTGGGTCTGGGGTGGGGCTGCCGGGCTGCCCCTGGGGCTGGGGTCTTCTCCAGCCGCTCCGCCCGGTCTGGGTGCAGCTCCCCCTCCCTCCTTGGGTCTCCCCGCCCGCTGCAGCCTGTCGCAGGGTTACAGCCTTGCCGTGTATTGTGCCGGCTAAATATGTGGGCACCACCATTGCCCGCTACGGGCTGCCATGTCAGGGCGGCTCCCCCGGCTGACGGACCACGGCTGGAGGAGATCCCCAGCTGGGCAGGCCTCCCTGACGGCGGGCGTACGCTCTGCCCCTGCTGGTGGCCACCGTGCACAGCGCAGCGGCTCCCCTTACACTCGCTGAAGGGTGCACGGGGGGAGCACATGGCAGCCAGACGCCCAGGCCGGCACAAGGCGGAGAGGGAACGACGCCTCCTGCTGCCTACCCCGAATCCCTGCCTTGGCAGCAGGGCCCTGGTGCCTGCGCTGGCCGGGGGAGAGTGCGGCTGGAGGCGGTGGCTGTGGGAGTCACGAGGATGCAGCTGGGTGCCCTGTCCGACGCGGTGCTGAGCCGGGTTGCTGTCACCAAGTGCCCCGGGGAGGAGGAGCAGGGCAATGGGACGGTCACTGCTCTGTTATACGGAGCCCGGGAGCTCGCCGGCTCCCTCCGCTCCAGGCATGCACCCTGCCCCTCTGTCGGCTCTGCCACCCATCACTTCACCCCTTGCTTTTCCCCACCAGAGCCCGCGGCTGCCTGGCCTCCCAGCTCATGGGGCTGGCGTGTGTGCAGGGCGCTGGGGGCGCGGAGGGGAGGCTGCAGTCAGAGGCTGGGGAGGGCTGGGGCAGCCCAGGGGGGGTCACCGGGGGTGAGGGGAGGGCGAGAGAGAGCCAGGAAGAGCTGCTGAGTGCCAGGTGTGTCCAGCTGGGGAAGCAGGGAGCTGGGAGCACTGAGCGCCCGAGGCCTGACAGTCCTGTGGGAAGGAAGGGCTGGGAGCGAGTCACCGCGCTGTGCTCTCCGGATTCCAGCCGACGCTGGCTGGGCGAGGAAAGGGCTGAGGTGGGCACCTGGAGCCTGCGATGCTGCCCCGGGGCCAAGGTGCCCGACCCCAGTTGGGGCAGACGGACAGACAGACTTCGGGCCGGGAGAAGCTCCAGAAGTGACTCCGGGCGATGGCCCAGGAAGGTAGAAGTGTGGGGAGCCCGTGTCTGGGCGTTGCTAAGGCAGGATGGTCCTTGCGGGGGTGCTGCCCCGGGGCTCAGCAGTGAGCTGTGGGCTCACACTCCCCAGGAGGGCAGGAACGACCCTGGGACCTGGCCTCGTTGGGGTCCCTTTGTGGGGCATGACCCAGTAGGGGCTGATGGCCCTATCTATGCGCAGGGCAAGAAGGGACAATCTGGGCGGGCTGGGGGCACTGCGGGGGTCTGGAGAGGGGACAGGGTCTCAGGGCCCATTGTCCCCCCAGCTGGGCTCAGGGCGATTCCCCCACGGCTGGGTGGCTGGGAGAGGGCTACAGTCTCCTCTGAAGCATTCAGCATCGGCCTCTTCTTGGAGATTGGGGAGCAGGCAGCGTGGGCCGGTTGGCAGTGGGTAGGAGGCTGGGCTAGCATTCCTGGGAAGCCAAAGAGGGATGCTCCCCACACCCCCTGCTTCTGCTTCATTTGGGCAGGGCCCCCTGGCTCTGTTCACCCGGCGCGGTCCTGCTCGCTGCTCGCGCCGGGGCGCTGCAGGGTCGCCTGCGGAAGGGGGCGGGGGGGGTGTGTGTGCAGAGGGATTGACCAGCAGCCATGCCTGGCCCGTGCAGTGCAGCTGGTCCCCCTGCTGGCCCCCTTCGCTTGGGTTGGGCGTGGGCAGGGGCAGGCCTGCGTGGCTGAGCAAAGGCGGGTTCCAGAGACAGCACTGAGGGGCCCAGGACGCTCTTTCCACTGGCTCTGACTGCCCCCCGCCTTGGCACTGAGCTGCCCCGGTGCCCAAGCTGCCCCTGCTGTGTGGCTAGCCCCGGGGCTGCCAGCCAGCACCTTCCCCGGCACTCAGGTCACTCGGACAAGATTCAAGCAGCAGCAGGAAGCGAAGGGCTGGAGCAGCTCGGATTGGGGCTTTTCCAGCCTGCTGAGCGTGCTTGCAGCAAAGCAGCGGATGGGGCTCAGGGCGGCCTGGCACCCCGGCCCTGGGGCAGGAGGCTGGGCTCTGCGGGCTCAGAGAGCAGGAGGTTTTGTTGTTCTGTCGCACGTCTCCATCTCCCAGAGGGCAGCAGAAATATCAAGACGGCACAGTCCCCTGCCCTACAGCACACTCAGCACCCCTCCGCCCCCCCCATTTGCACGGCGCTCCCACGCCCACCAGAGACCCCCTCCGGCCAGCACCCACATCGGGACCCTGCACCCAAGGGAGAGAGCCAACGGACTGGCCCGCCCCAAGGCAACACCAAGGCCAGGTCCCCCACCGGCTCCGAAGCCCTGCTCCCCGGGCCAGCGAGAGGGGGGCCTGTTCTGGAGAGGAGGGGGCCAGTGGGGTGAAGTGCCCCACCCTGTCACTAACGTGTTCCCGAACGCTCTCTGCCGGGCATTCGCAGCGGGCTCGGCGGGCAACGCCTCACTTACCGGAGTGGGGATCCAGACGCGCCGCGGCGTGAACCCTAAGGAGCTGCCCGCACTGTGCCCATTCCGTCTGCTTCTCCCAATCGTCTCCTCCTTGCCCGCTTTCACTGCATCCCTAGCGGGACTCCCTCGGCCCCAGAGAGGGGGTGCTGGGACGTGGGCACCCAGAGAGGCGATGCCTGCGAGTGGAGCTGGGAGGCTGGTACCCGGAGCAGATGCTGCCGGAGGATGCGGGAGGAGGAAGATGCTGGCAGCTGGTGGCGCGCGCAGACGGCTGCGAGCAGGAAGCGGGGCTGAGCAGATGCCGCCTGGCTTGCTGGCCCTGTACCAGCTACTGCGTGAGCTGGGCTAGACTCCTCGCTGGGAGATGAAGCGGGTTTTTAACCATTCTGACGTTGGCTGGGACATACCAATAAAATCCTTCCCCACGTCTCTGTCTCCCAGGCTCAGCTGCTCTCATTAGTGACAACCTCAAGGACTGCAGCGCTGGGACCGCATCCATTCAGGAGAGAGAGGAGCAAGGTCAGGCCAGCCCCTCCCCACCCCGCCCAGCCCCAGCCCCGGAGAACCGGCAGCCTTTGGGTGCTTTAACCCTTCCCTGCCTAGCAGAGGTACCTTCACAGAGCCAGAGCAGCAGAGACGGAAGGGGCTGGGGGCTCCCCAGCCCACGCCCCTGGGTCCCTACTGTAGGCCGGGTTCTCTCCTGGCCATCCAGCGCATGGAAGGTCAAGGTGAGCTGGGTGCAGTTGGCTGCAGGCCCTGCACGCCCTCGGCATGCGGCTCATACCGCCTGGCCCCTGCCGCACGTCAGTTGGTCTGGGGGGGTCTCTGGGAACTGGCCCGTCTCCCTTGCAGAGCTGGGATCAAATCCCAGGCTAGGTCACAAGTGAAATGAGTTTGGTGGATTCTCATCCTTCTGAATGGGGCCACGGGGTTGGCCACACGAGGGGGTAACTGGGAGAGGACTAGGACTGGAGGCTGGGATGGAAGGGCTCTGACAGAGATGGTGATGGGTGTCTGCGAGCCCAGGGCTGGGACAGCAGGGGGCAGGGGGGCAGGATGGAGGGACACTGGCAGAGCTGGGGGGTCAGCCCCATCCTGGGTCTGATCCATACCCCCTGCCACCCCGCAGGGGAACCAGCAACCTCTCCCCTCTCCGCTCTGCACCAGAATCCAGCCCCTAGGACTCACGGGGCAGAACTGCAGTGGGGCGGTGCAAACAGAGGGGCAGTGTTACGGAGTGTCGGGGAGTCAGGGCCCTGCACCCCTCTTCCTGCGATTCACTGTGACTCTCAGCCAGCCAGTAAAGCAGGTTTGTTGGGTAACAGGAACACAGTCTACAGCAGACCTTGTCGATACAACCAGGACCCCTCAATCAAGTCCTTCTGGGGGGTTCAGTGAGCTTAGACCCCAGCTTGGGGTTCCCTGCGTTGCACCACCCAGCCCAAAACTGAAACTAAAATCCCTCCAGCAGCTCCCCCCCCCTCTGCTCCTCCTCTCCTTTGTCCAGTCTCCCGGGCAGAAGGTGTCACCTCTCCCACCCCCCTCCTGGCTCAGGTTACAGCTCAGGTAACTTCCTTCCCATCCCCAATGTAACTCCCCTGCAACATTCCCAGGTGAAATCCGCCCGCTCCCTGCCCCGGCCCCGGCAGCAGGACAGACCCACACGCCAACCCCCATAACGGCACCCGCCGCCTCTGCTGACCCCTCTGCGCCAGAGGAACCAGTTCGCGGCCAGGCAGGACCGGGCGCCCCCAGGAGAGCCGGACGGGGGGAGCCTGAAGGACACGGGGGAGACGGGGCAGTGGGTCCCAGCTGACCCCCGTGACTGTCCCGTAGAGGCAGAGGAGAGACGTGGCTGCTCCGGCCCATTGGCCGCCTCATCGCTCTCCCAGGCAATGCTAAAAGCACCATCTGCGCCCGGGGTGGGGCGAGGGAAATCCCCCCCCCCCTCGATGGGACCCATCGTCCCAACGCTTCCCACATCCTTCCCGCACTGCCCACCCAGGGCTCACTCGCCCACCTGCCGCGGAAATGCGCCCACCTCTGGGGTGGACGGCGGCGGCAGCAGCGGACAGAGTTTGGGCAGGGAAGGGCAGAGGAGTCCCAGGGCTGAGTGCAGCTGAAGTGGGGACTGAGGGAGGCGGAAAGGAACTGCACACGGGGGAACCGGCCAGGGCGCCGCACTCACAGATTCCTCTCGGATCCCAGTGACAGCAGCGGGGCAGGAGCTGTGCTCGGCTCCGGCAGAGAGCGGGCACCGGGCACCGGGCACTGCCTGGGCACTGGACACAGTATTATTCAGCGGGTCGCACGTCCAGTGCTCGTCACCCCACTCCCTGCAGCCCAGCGCCCCCTGCTGGCTCGCCCGCCCCGCCCCCTGCAGCCCAGCGCCCTCTGCTGTGTCGCCCGCCCTGTTCCCTGCAGCCCAGCGCCCCCTGCTGGCTCGCCCGCCCCGCCCCCTGCAGCCCAGCGCCCTCTGCTGTGTCGCCCGCCCTGTTCCCTGCAGCCCAGCGCCCCCTGCTGGCTCGCCCGCCCCGCCCCCTGCAG